CTCCCACGCGACAAGCTCGGCCTCATCTTTGGGTTTAGGCACTCCCGTAGATGTTAAGAACTGTGCTTTACCACGGCCACCAAGAGCATGACAAATAGCTTTCTCCCAAACATCATAGTTATCACTACGAAGCACATATTTTGTTAATGAATTACCCGGACCTTCAGACGGATGCAAATAATAGATTGTAGACGGATCATGTATCAAGTTTGCCTTCTTAGTCGCCATGACGAACGACTTCAATCGATTGATGCACTATTGGCACTGGACAGTGCACCACGATGGCAACTGGACTGGACAGACGAGGACGACGGCCGGACTGGACGGAGTAACTTGGCCGGATTCACTGGTCGGACGACGGACGAACGACGCCAAAGACGGAACCCTAGACGTTGACGACGAAAACCCTAGGCGCAGAAACGAAACCCTAGGAACTTACGCTCCGATACCATGTTGAACTTTTGGAAAATACTTTGTTGATTGATTAGTTACCCCAAAGAGGTATATATACAAGATACATAAGTACAAGCCCAACGGGCCAACTAACTACAATATAAACCAATACTGCACAAGAATACCCAATAGATACCATCACTATATTATTCCCAACGATGAAAAGTATAGTACGAATTACCCAGTGTAATTTAACCTTGGGAATAATTTAAAAAGGGCAAAAAAAGTAATAATAATATTAGTAGTAGTAATAATAATGATGATGATATCAACTTATAATACTAAAAAAATACGTAGTATTATTAAATGTCAATAGAAAATATGATACTCCGTATTATATTGTCACATTGTAATAGTCTTATTTTGATGGACGGAAGGAGTATAAGAAATCAGATCAAGCACTAGTTCAAGCTTGTATTTTTAGCGTTACGAAGGCTTGTAATATTTTAGAAAAAAGCTAGCGGTATACTATTTGTACCCTCCATCTCCACCACATAAAACCAAGAGAGGAAAAAAAATTTAAAAAGAAAAAGGAGATGGAGGATTAAGATTGATGGTGTACAAATGGGGTACCGAGCAATTCTCAATATTTTAACTAACATCTTACTTTAATTTGGGTTCAAGTCAATATTTAATCCTTATTTTATGTGATTTTTTAATAATTACTTTTCATTAATTATCGGGGTGGCAATCCCTTATCTTCTTTCCCCGCGGTGACCCCACGTCCTATTTCCGTAAATAACTTTCCATGTTTCTTTTTCTTGACCATTATCCTATCCCTCATTTTAGGAAAACATTCATGATTTGATGATATTTAGTTCAAACTATTTTTAATTTAATTAATTTTAAAATTAATTTAATACTTTAAAATTAAATATATTGTATACATTTAAAAATTAAATTAAAATTTTATAAATAATGAGATGACATAACTATTTTATTTTATCAAATGAATAATTAAAATATATAAAGAAAGAAATATAATCTATCTGTGAAAATATAATATTTTTCTTGGACGGAATATCAAATTAAAGACTTTATTTATTTATTAAAAAAAAATGAGCATCAGCTCCGAAGATTTTCAGAACAGGTCGAACAATCACTTGAGAGGATATAAAATAAATGAAATAGACTAATCAGCATAGGGTGAAGCGTGCACCTAGGCTTCATTGACATATTGGCTTGTTAACTAATTAAACACATATGGTCATTTACATTTTTGGACCTTCCATGAACTCCCTCTGTCCCATATTGGATACCATACAACATACAACGTACAAAATCTTATTATTTTTAAAATTATCTTAATTGCAAAATAATATAAAAATAAAAAATATAAAGTACACCATTTGTTAAAAATATATATAAAAAACTTTATAAAAAGATATGACAAGAATATGTTTTATTTTATTTAACAAATTATTAATAAAAATATACAAACAAAAGTTATTGCGAAGCCATAATTAATAATGACAGTGGCATCCAATTCGGAACAGAGGGAGTATATAATTGAAGGTTTAGTTTGTTAAAAGACTTTAGAAAATTATAAATTTGGTTAGTTTAATGAAACATTTTTACAATTTACACAAGTCCACTAGGTTTTGGTAAATATTGGTTTGACCCCTCCATATATGATCTCTTTCCAGTTTCCATGCATCTTCTGATTAATACTCCGTATTATTATTATTATAGTGTAAATACAAAAGTGGACCTACATGCAAATGATTCATCATGTCATCTCAACTATACCTGAGGGATATTGTAAATAGAATCTGACAATCATTTAATTCTCCCATCAATTAATAATACTTCCTTTGTCCTAAAACTTTCTTCCCGATTCGCAAAACGAAGAAAAATCTCAAGTTTTTTTAATCTATTTTATTTAAATATTGGTATAGAAATAAAAAATAAAACATACATATTTAAAAACTACCTCAAAAGTTCAACAAAACAAGTGGTGACAAGAATATTTTATTTTATCATATAAGTAATGAAAAAACACAAATAAATATAAATTCTCGTGAAGTTGGAATAGTGCACTGGGAAAAAAGTTTTAGGATGGAAGGAGTAATACGTAGTAATAATACTCCCTCCGTCCTATAATGATCTTCCCAGATCACTATTCTAACTTCACGAGAATTTATATTTATTTGTGTTTTTTCATGGCCTATATGATAAAACATTGTGGGACACAAACTCTCTCTGTCCAAAAATTATATCATCGTTCACTATTTAAATGATCATTATTTTTTACTTTGTTTGCCTATTTTCCTTACTCATTTAATAAAATAATACACTCCTATCACTTCTAATTTTATAAATTTTGGGTAAAAATTTAGAGAGCATTGCTTGGAATTGGGCGCAGTACGTGAGAGTGCAGACAGCTACGGCCAACCGTTTCGTCGGCTTCACACTCTCTTTACGTCTGTGTCTTCATTATCACCTTTCCGTAAATGGAAAGAAGCTTACGTTTTACTCCCCTGCCTAAATATTTGTCACACTTGTATTTCTCAGTGAAAATATCAAGTTTTTTAAGGGTCCGTTTGGTACGCGGAATTCAAGCTACGGAATTGGAATTGGAGACTTTAATTCCAATTCTGATGTTTGGTATCGAAAAAATTTATAGATTTGGAATTCAATTCTAATTCCAAAATTTTCAATTCTACATTTTAAATTCCATACCAGAATAAAAGAATTGGAGTGAATTTCACGGGTCAAATAAAAACACGCGGATCTTTCTCGGGTCGGATCTTAGATCTAATTTTACGCAGATCAAAACTCCAACTCCCTGCGCTCTTTCTCGTTTTCTCTCTCGGCTCTCTCATCTCTCTCAGCTCTCTCATCTTCGATCTCCATGGGTGACCCTTGCAGACATCTCGCAATTCTCCATGGGTGAGGGTGGCGACATCTGGTAATTCTCTCACTCTTTCTATCTCTCTATCTTTAAATTCGATTCTTTTTTTAGATTTGTTTTTCAATTTGTCAAATCTTTATCAAATCGATTATTGTAGTTGTTAGCTAGGGTTTTAATGGCTTTTGAATTACTTTACTGCAGAGATTCCGTGTTCGAGGTTTATTTCGCTACCAAATCTCTGTGTGTTTGAATAATTGATTAAGGACATGGATTCTACTACTAAGGTTGGTACAACTAATTCTGTGTCTTGGATGGTATTTTCCCCTAATTTATGTCTGGTTTTAGATTTTAATGCATTTAATTTGTGGTTTGGAAAGTCTATGTTTTATAAATTTGATGCATATTGCTTTGTTTGCTGAATCTCTGGAATAGATGACTAACTATATGTACATTTGATTGATTATTGCTTTGATGCACATTGCTTTGGTTTTGCAATTACCCTGTTTTCTTTAATGTAGCATTTTTTTCTTTTTAGTGCATGGATATCCATGTGTCTCACTCTGATGAAGAAAGTGAAGAAAGCGAAGAATATCATCCCAATTGGGATGATATTTGTATTCTTTTCTCTCAAGATCGTGCGGATGGGCAAGGTTCAAGAACAATTCAAGAAACCAGTGATGAGATTGAGGTTGATTCTGCTACTATCCCATACTCACTTGACAAGTGTGATGAAGTTGATGTTATAAGTGATTTGTTGGCTCGAAAAAAGAGAAAGGAGACAACGTCTTCCTCATGTTCTATAGGACCTAAGAAGAAAACTTCATCAACGACAATCATATCTGACTGTATGCAGCGAATGGCGACTGATTTCAGTGACTATTTGGCGGTGGAAAGGAAAAAGTCTGAGCTTCTTTTGACAGAAAAGGAGTTAATGTTGGCAGAGAAGAAAAAAATTAATCCCCAAAAAATTTTGGCTGAGTTGAAGGCTATTGAACTCGATGACATGCAGATGATCAAGGCTGTGGATTTGATGATGCATGATCACATATTATTCAATACATTTGTGGGAATGCCAACAGAGTTGAAATACAAGTGGTTGAAAGTGCAACTTGATAAATGAAGTTGACACTTATTTTTATTATACAATTCCTAGATTATCATTCAATTTGATCTTTGTTTCAACTTGAACTTTGTTTAAACTTAAGTTAAATCTTCTTCTGTCAACTTTGTTTGAATTTAAGTTTGGTGTGTTTGATCTATTTGAATTTATAATTGTTCAATTTTTTCTGGTCATAAATGTCTAAAGATGGTTATTTAAAAAAATGATGGTAGCCATAATATATATTAATGTCATTTTTTAGTTATCAAATAAAGTGGTTGGGATCTAAATACAATTTTTTATCAATTGTATACGTAATTTTATGTTGCCAAACATAAGATTTGGAATTACAATACAATTCTATATCAATTCTTTAATTACACCAAACAAAGGATTTGGAATTACAATACAATTCTATATCAATTCTTTAATTACACCAAACAAAGGGTTTGGAATTGAATTAGAATTCAATTCCATCGAATTCAATTGCATAGAATTTCAATTCCAATTCAATTCCAATTCCACATACCAAACGGACCCTAAATATATTTTATTTATAATTGGCATAGAAATAAAAAAAATTACATATAAAAAACTACATGAAAAGTTATTCGAAATAAGAGGTGTCAAGAATAATTTATTTTATCAAATAACCAATGAAAACTTAGTAATAAACATAAGTTCCTCTTAATACTGATTGTGGCAAATATTTTGGGACGAATGAAATATTTAAAAAAATTTGTTCCATGATAATATGCTTTAAAAAAAAGAAAAGAAAAAATGTAGTCGTCCATGGGGTCTGTATTTACCATCAATTCGGACCAGATTCTACAAGACGTGTGGGACCTACTCGCTCATTATACCCACTAGTGGGCTACTGCCCTGTCAAAATTACTTCCAAAATAATTATTTCATGTTCCTAATTAGATTACAAATTGGGATTTACGAGGTGAAATATTTTATTTTTTAAAATTATTTTATTTAAAAATCAATATATTGATAAGAAATAAAAAGTGACAAGAATATTTTATTTTATTAAATATTTAATGAAATCACCTAAACAAACAAAAGTTATTGAGAGGAGACAAAAATTCTAATCAAATTGGGGACAGAAAAAGTACTTCCCAAAAGCTACATAAAATTTTCTTTAAGAGAGGTGACATGACCATTTTATATTATGAAAGGTGGAGTGAAAATAAAAAATAAAGTGAATAAAGTTCAATAGTAAGAAACATTCCTTTTTTGAAAATATGGAGAGTATATACATGCATTATAAAACTAAATAAAAAAATTACAAATTATTTAAAATAAGTAATAAAAATAGTTAAAAAGACGTTAATATTTAACTGCAGAAATGGTGAACTTGCAAATTAAATTGAAACCGAAGAAATATAATTAAACCAATATATCTAAGGCGTTGAAGATTTTTGGATGAGCACTTCTATAGTGCACCTTGGGTGCATACAATGTTTGTGGACCTTCTCATATAATATTTTTTATTAAAAAATAAGAGCTTTTTTTGAAACAGTATAAAAGCTTATTTAAGTAGTAAGAAAATGTTTATTTTGCTCATATGTAGGTCCATAGAGGACCATCGTAAAATTTACCATTTTGTATATATGTCAAAGTAATACTTCCTTCGTCCCAAAAAAGAAAATTGTTATTTTGATTTTTAAAAGATTTAAGAAGAGCATATTTTGGAGTTGATTTTGCAAAAATACCCTTAGATGTGATAGAAAAAAGTAGATGTAATGGATAAATTAATAGAAAAGTGTGATGTGATAGATAGGTTAAAAATTAGTGGAGATAAAAATAACTTTTTAATAAAAATAAAAAAAAGTCGTTTGGGACGTGTAAAAAAAAGAAAAAAAATTTCATAGAATTGAGGGAATCACAAGTAACAACCATAATATCATTCGAGCCCGGTACCATGGCCACTAGATTTCAGTGGCCACGGAAGCCATTGCCTCCCTTCGGAGCTCCGTTCATAAAATTGATGATTCCTACCCCTTAACCCCTCAGTAAACCCCTCCATCAAGTCCCGACCCAAACTAATCACCACACCTACGTCAATTGCACTTCGTAAATATAAAGTCAAAACTTTTGACTTTAAAGTCAATTATATTTACGAGGTGCAATTGGCGTAGGTGGGGTAATTAGTTTGGATCGGAACTTGGCGGGGGGTTACCGGAGGGGTTAGAGGGGTTCAATTTTATGAACAGAGCTCCGTAAGGGGGCAGTGGCTTCCGTGGCCACTGAAGCCACTGCCCCCCTACGAAGCTCTGTTCATAAAGTTTTGACTTTAGACTTACGAGGTGCAATTGACGTAGGTGTGGTGATTAATTTGAGTCGGGACTTGGTGGAGGGGTTTACTGAGGGGTTAGGAGGTAGTAATCATCAATTTTATGAACAGAGCCACTGGAATCCAGTGGCCATGGAACCAGGCTCATATCATTCCCCATGTACGAAGTATAACACGAATAGATGGAAATATTGATGGTACGTTACTAGCAATATTGATGATGAAAGGCACCCATGGTAAAGGTCACTTTCATGTTAGTAGGATGCACGGTGATATGGATAAGAATCGCCACATGTGATGGTGATGTCGTTGAGGCTATGTTTTACTTCAACTCCTAAAACATTTAAGGATAAACCTATTTCTACCCCATGTTTTGTACCCCACTTTGTACCCCGTAGCTTTGCACCAACACTTTGTGTTAGTGTAAAACTAATTTTTGTTAATGCACCAACACTTTGTGTCCGTGTAAATTTTCGTTAACGCACCAACACTTATGTCGGTGTAAACCATCAAAATGTTTGTGTATAACTGTAGTGTACAAATGGGGTACAATTTGTGGTGTAAGTGTAGCATAACCCAACATTTAAAATTGAAAAATGCTACCTCATTTGTCCCCCACCCCCTCCATCACCACAAAAAAAGGCAACAAAATAAAAAAAAATTAAATAAATAAAAATAAAATAAAATTATATGGTAAAGAAATGAGTGGGGGACAAATGGGGTACACCATTTGGTGTACCCCTAGCATTCCTCTTTAAATTTTCATATACTCCCTCCGTCCCATGAAACATGAGACTTTTGCTTTTTAGGGATGGATTTAAAGGGAGTGTATTTTGGTATTAAATTTCCAAAAATGTCCTTTGATGTGATGGGTAAAAGTATGATTTGATGGATAAATTATTAGTAAAAGGTATGATGTGATAGGTAGAGTATGAAAAAGTAAGGGATAAAAGTGACTTTTTAATAGAAATGAGAAGTGTTTTGTGGGACGGATAAAAAAAAGGAAAAAGATTTCATGGGACGGAGGGAGTATTATTTCTCACAAAATATTTCAATTCAGATTAAATAGATATTATTATCTTTACTTTTTTTTAAATCTAACTCAATCCATCTCAATCACCTACTATACCCTATCAAATTTGACAAATCTCGAGTCCTAGCAATTTTAATTGTCGTTGTTTTGCATTGGTGAAAGTTTATAGCTTTCCCTCAAATAAATCTGATGGTGTAAATATAGCGGGGTGGGTTAACCGGATTTGACCTGGACACACTCGACCCGTAATATAAAACACACAACAAGAACACAAAGTATGACCTAGACCGGGTAAATCTCCTCAGTCCGAATTATATTTCTTACTCTATCTCAAGAGTGAACTTTAGTGAGAGAAAAAATTGGCTCCCTCCTCTATCCAATATCATCATATTTATAGAGGAGGATTTGTGACCTTCCCCTGTTCATCCATGGACAAAATAGGAAGCTCGTGGGAAGGTCACTGTAGATAATGGAAGCACTGTACAATCATGGACTTGCTACTAATACAACCAAAAAGCACTGTTCAATCAAAGACTAAAATGGATATTCTCAATCCAATCAACCCTGCAAAATGACAAACATCCCTTTCACTGTGTGCCTCGTGATGGATGAGCGGCGGGGTGTCCCCTTGACCTCTGACGTGGTTCACCATGCCTAAGAGACTAGACCAATGTTAGCCAAGTAAAGTGATATGACCGGTCACCTTTTTTCTCAAAGGTTGACCGGTCATTTCTTGAGCTCAACTCGTCTCTTTGGTCTTCTTGAATTCTTCACAACATTAGGTGATATTTTGGCTATCGCCGAAAATGTGACCGGTCACTTTTTTATTAGAAGTGACCGGTCAACTTTTGACCCGTCCCAATCGAAGAGTTAACTTCATTTGGTGATTGATAAAAGTGACCGGTCATATTTTGACCTGTCC